CAGTTTCCAGTCTCTTTCCAGTGTGAGTGATGACTCCAGCAGGATAGAGTTACTGTTAGATGGGAAACAGCAGAATCAGGCAGCACTGGTGCACAGGATGGCACAGGAGGTAACATATGCTCTTCCATGGTAGAGTAAAAAATGTCTATAAAACGTCTAACGGACATTAGACATGATTTAGACATTGCTGAACAAAGGCCAGTCGGGAGAACATTTAGTAGACATACATGTAGTTACTGAAAAACAACATCGAAATAGCCCAGGGTGGGCATTTTATATCCATAGTCTCTTCACACGTCAGGTAGGGACACCCCTACGAAACAGTCCTTTGTTTAGCACAATGTGTACTTATAAAGATATTAGCATCTGTACGTTAATTAATTTGGTCCCGCCCTCTAAATTGCCTTGGCTGTATGCAGTGCATTTCATATGCATGCCAGTTTTCAGAGTTTTTTCTAAAGACATTCTGACAGACACCTCATGAACAATGGAAAACACAACAACCAAGTCCTCCCCAAAAAGACCCTGTAAAGACCTGGGAAAGACATTCTTTACAAATGTTTTAAAAATGTCTGGAACTTTCGAGAATGTTAAATGTCCGTTAGACATTTTATAGACCTTTCTGGCTCTACCAGTGAATCAGGTTGTACATATAGAATACAACACGGGGTATTCCGTATCGCCCGAGGTATCGGCCCGATCGCGGGTCGGATCGCCCGCAGGCCCGGTCCGGAACCCGTTATCGAACGTTATCGCGGCCCGGGTATGATATAAAGACTAGTATAGAAGAGCTAGGAAACTAGAATAGAATAAATAATTATTATATATAATATATATATATATATAATATATATTATAAAAAATATTTATCTAAAATACTCAGGACTACATTGTGTAATACAGGCAGGTCTAAATCCCAGACCAGCAATGAATATATACTATATATTTATTGTAAGTCAAAAAACAGTTATTCAAGCAACTGGACATGATTTTGGAAACGATCAGACATTTCAGGTAACATTCATTACCTTTTGTCAGTGACACTTGAGACCTTCACCGACCTATATACTGTATTTATTAATTGTTTGGAACTTCCCACAGGAAGAGTTTCAGAAGAAGGCATTTGAAGCTTTGCAGCTGGAGAAGGACACCAAACACAGCAGGATCACTGGTCAGGTCAGTTAGAGCTGTCCTAGCATTGTTTCTGGATGGTTTTGAGTTAAAACATTTTAATTTAGATTTAACAAGAAATTTGATGTGAATTATTCCAGCAGTTGATCCTATGTGATCTTCCATCAATATCCTGAAGAGTAGGAGAGCTGTTGTAGATAATCTTCATCCCCCTTTACTGTACTGCTACAGGGTGATTGTAAAAGATAATGTACCTAGGCTTGTACCTGTACCAGTGAAGAAAAAGTGTTTCAAGCCCTGCTATGTCAAACTATAACTGTTGAGTTTAACCTAGTAACTTCCAAATGCGGCAAGTCCATGAAAACCCATCATACACCACTTGTAATTATACCATTTTCTCAATTATGAAGATGAGTTCCTTATCTGCATACATTGTAATTGTTATCTTCATTGAGCTATTTCTAACATTAAACTGTTACAGTGCTGTCTTCCTTCCTTCATTAGCTATAATAATTCCTAATACATGTAGAACATTGTATGGTGATTTGACTTCAAATGGTACACACATGTCTTCAGTCAGAACCACTGAGCTACATGTGTAGCACATGACATCTGAAAAATAATTCAGAAATAAAAATAAATTTTCTTGAAGTGATGTGGTTACAATTATATGTATAATTATATGAATGGTGTTGTAGATTGCACTTATTGAGCAGGAGTTAGTTCAGCTGACTGTGGTAGAGATGGAGAAGAGGGCACTGCGGATGGACATGGAACAGGTTAGTACAAACTTTTCTGTCATTGGAGATTTTAATGTATTTCGGGATATGGGTTACATGCTTGGATAACAGCATCTCTTCTGCCTGAGTCGGAAATGTCATGGTTGACCTAATCTCGACTCACTGAGATTGAGGACTACATTTTGTAACTGACCCAATAAGAGAAGCAGGGGTTATGACTTAAAGGCTGATCAGGAATATTCCCTGGCTGGAATGGTTTGATCCAGTCACACTGGGAACAATTCTTCTTTTTTCGATAAATGTGGCGGGTGCTCAAGGTGAGGCTCTCCTCACGTGGATTCTCACCAGGATTTTTTCACAGTGTAGGGGTCAGGTACAGAAGGGCAACTTTCACGGTGCAAGTCCTGCAATGAGACGAAAAATTTTGAAACTCATTACCCCCTGGGACACTATTTCTTGCGTATCCAGGGACAGATTTTGTGAAGTTAAGGTTTTGCCTTAAGTTTGCTATAGCTTCATTCTTAGGTTATATTTTCATTTTTTTGCATGATTTATGAAGGTTCTTTAAAAAAAAAACACCCTTACATGTATGCTGGTTGAAAGGCAGTATAGGGGGTCTATGCTCAAATAGCCTAGTGAGAACTAGTATGAATTACAAAATTAATGTATTATTTACACGTCAAAGAGAACAGGGCAAGCTGGTTCAGAATCTGGCACCATGGCTTTTGAAGAACGTTCTTTGGAGAAGCAAACACAGCAAGCATTAATAATTTGCCTTTGTATGCAGTCATGATGTTTTTTATCATTGATATATGCAACGTCAATGTCATGTGACTGTACAGAGTATTTGTGTGTTACTTGCAGGAGGTGCTGTGCCAGAAGCGGACAGCTCTGACAGCCTTACTGGTACAGCTGTTAGAGGAGAAACAGAACAGAGAACAGGAGCTGAAGAAAAGGCTGGTGAGCAATCTGCCATCATTACCTTGACCTGAAATAAAGTATGCACCCTGACTTTGGCCTGAGACACTTTTTGTATTTTGAAAAGTTTAAAAATTGCGTTCTTTATTCAGAAATTACCGTAACAAACTTTTGATATGATTTCCCACGATGTAAGATGTCCCAAGCTCAGCTGGTAGCCACGTAGCGAGGAGTAAACAAGTTTAGGGAACAGGGCGGTCACATTGATAATACGGCGGCGGCGGTAAAAGGAGAGGCCGACAACCAGTCTCATTTTGCCTCTCAAAATAAGGGAAATTGCGTTATTTGAGGTTTAAAAATTTCCTGGGGAGCATGCACTTGAAGGCAGTCATGAGACGGGGCTGGTGGGAACGCTGCTTGACACTGTTTGATAATGGACTTACTCGGGATAACTCGCAACATTTTATAACTTTGGCATTTGAAATAATTGTTGTAAGATGTATTTCATTCTTTCTGCACCCTCTGGATGGCAAAAAAATGTCACATTTGGTGCATGTTCCATCTCTTGCAGATCAGTTTGTCATTTTCCTATGACAAATTCATCTGCACGCATGTGTTTATGTTTGTTAAAGTCACTGTGTTAGTGTTTGTTAAAATATGCTCCCCAGGGAAAATTGAAATCTTGACCCTTTGAAACATGTGAAATTCCTGCACTTTGAAGGGCAAATTCTGCTGGCAGTCTATTATATATTATAAGCTTAGCCATATCTTAACATGCCAATTTTTGTCTGTCAAATATGATGGGAAAAATTGCAGCAAACTTCCTTCATATGACAGAAAGACAATGGTCCAATAATCCAAAATATTCTACAGACTTCCTGAGGTAAACTTTTGACCACACAGTGTCTCTGCTTTTCTTGATACAACATAAAACTGGAAAAAACTGGGGTGGCATCGGGTGGTGTAGTGGTTAGAGCGTTCGACTGTGAACCGGGAGACTCGGGTTCGATTCGAGTCGTACCCGGGGCATGTCTGAACATGCGCCCCAACATTGTGCCCTTGGGAAAGGCACTTTACACAAATTTCCTCATTCCACCCAGGTGTGAATGGGTACCTAACTTCGGTTGGGGAAAGTCGTATTGAGGTCACCTGGCGCTGAATGGCTGCCGTATAGACCCTTGCGACAGTTCCACAAAAATTTGTGGAACAAACATGTGTATCATGTGTATTATTTGATTGTTGTGATTTGTCTTGATTATTATGTATTACCCTGCATCAATTCAGCCGTATAAAGGCTACGACTGCATGGGTACTGTTTGCACAATAAAAACCATTTACTAAAAAAAAACATTTATTAAAATAAAGTTAAACCATAATCTGCTGTTAATAAACCATAATCTGTTGTTAATAAACCATAATCTACTGTTAATAAACCATAATCTGCTGTTGTCAGCTGGAGATGGAGAAACACAGGCAGGAGGAGCAGGAGGACTATTGGCTCATCTTATATCAGAGGCTGCTGGACAGGAAACCTCAGCAACTTGTCAACAAGGTAAATAAGCCTGTCTTTCATTGGCAGACAGCCATACCATGTTTTTCATCATTTACTGCTTTTTGAACATACATTGGCAGAGAAACCTTTTGACTATCTATCATAATTATGATTTGATATCTGAACGATTATAATTACTTCTATGTTACCTTATTTCATTTGATTGTTGATGAGTTAGCTACGATTTCGTCTTGTTCACGATAAGTTTATCTATTTTCAGTTGACCTTTGTTAGTTCATCTTTAATCTTTTGTTATAATTATAATTATGTCATCTAGTCTTGTTGGGGTTATCCCCCCAGGAATCTTTGAAAACCGCCAAGGCGACATGTATTTCCTGGTTAAATAAATAAACAAACAAACTGCCAACTTGAAGCCAGTACTTAAAAGTACTGGCTTGGCAGTTTCTCTTGTAGCTGATATGTTCATATGCTCTGCAAGCCTGGTACAGAAGAACACCGTCAGCAGTACTAGTACATGTACATTAATTTTGTAGCTTGCACAAAAAGGACATTAAACAAACTTAATCAGCTCATCCTAAATGTCTATTTATGTCAGAAGGAACATCTTCTTATTATGTTCATATTAAAGGCCATAGCATAGCAGCACTGATTTTTTCCCTGTATCACAAAGCTGCTTTGGCCCCATTTATCTAACCCATTTCCTTAAATTTGTTATGTGGTGATGATTGCGTAAAAATGGCTTTTGAGCTGTGTTTTTGAGTTTGTAACCAACCTCAAGCAGCGTAATGATAATGGGAGGGGTCCTAATTCCGACCTATGTTCCATGCAAATGCACCTACCTTTGTCTGACCAAAAACCTGTGCAACATGAGCTTTATTATCAACAGATAAAGATAAGAACAATACACAGCCATGACAGCTGTGTGTTTCAGTGCCACGCCGTACACCCAAGTGCAATGGTTCACGAAACTTATGGCATATTTTTGGTCATTTTGCCGGTGGAACGTTCTATTGCAATAGGGGTGCCCTAATTCTGACCTAGTACTTAAACACAGATTGATCTGAGGAGAGATTTTAGTACATTTAATATTCACAAATTATTACTTAAACTATCTACAACTGTTTTTCTCTCCCAAACAAGTCCTCTTTTTACCATTATACAACTTGCTCCAAAGCAGCTGTTTCAAAATCAAAACTTTTTTACACGCTCGTCAACCCCCAGGAAAAGCGAAAGCGTTGAATTCAAACAGATTTTTCACTTGTCTGTTGTTGGAGCGTACGAACTGGGAAAAAACTTTGTGAGTTTGCTGTTATCAACGCATTATCAAAACTTTGTCCATTCCTGTGGGTATTTACAGGCACATACACCCATGCATAATGCCGCAAAAATGATTTTTCTAACTAGTTCGGAATTAAGGGTATGTCGGAATTAGGGCACCCCCTGTTAAGGTATGGTTTAAGACATCATGTAGTGAAGCCTTGTTGTTTTGAAAATTTGTCCTTTGGAAGAAACATAGCACTGATGGCAAGTTAATGTCTGTTTTGTGTGTTGTACGTGACCAGGAGGCTCAAGTTGACGTTGATGTGCTGAAGCTGTTGAGCAGTGTTGGGGCAGACGACTATGTTCCTGTGTTCGCCCGGCATCACATCTTCACTATGGAACAGCTGGCTCAGATGAGCAACGCTGATCTTCAACAGGTACCACTATAACACCACTGTACATATATTATGTTAATGTAGAGGTCATTTGCATAGTTAATGAGGACATGTTGAAATGAAGTATGACAAAGCTAGCCCATATTTCATGGAGGTATGAGCTCTTAGAAATCATGTTACACTCGTTCTCATTCAAATGTACAAAATGCTGTCGCCACTCTTTATGACTAGGTATGAGCCAAATCATGGACCTCATCGTTGCTTCGTTCACTTTCCCACTACACTTACTATGTTTTACGAAAAATGTACCACAAAACTAGGTTTGATTGATGACTTGAGAGAAATTATGGTCGCGGGTTGGATTTCTCCCCCTAAAAAGCGGCTGTCGCCTGAGACGAAATAGAAACTTTAAAAAGCAACCTAAAACGTAGCAATTTGATTACGGCAGTAGTTTTCTGCCTGGTGAAGTCGGGTGGCCAGGCCCTCTGACTGATCAAGTCAGATCGCTTCTGTCACTATTTTGTACGCTGTGCGAGGTGTTTCATACCTGTCGCCAAGTTCTGTAACATCCGTTACCGCTCAAGTAAGACGGTCGTGCAGTTTAGATAGAGTCACATATAAGACAAGAAATTGCCATTTTGATGACTTTTAGCAAGTTTTCTAGGCTTCTAAGAGAAGACGAAAAGAGTGTGTGCTGTCATTTGTAGCCACCTTCGCTGAACAAATTGTTTTACAGTAATGAATGTAACATCCGTTACCGTTGTTTTTACTTTCAATTTTGTTCCTTCACCTGGTATATAAAAAGTCGCCCAGTTTAAAAATGTCCGTACTTATGCCCCCTTGTTCTCAAAGGATGAAGATAAAAACTGCAGATCTTCTTGGAAAAATAAACAAAAACGTCCGTTTTGTAACATCCGTTACCGGTAACGGAAGTTACACCTGTAGCGGAANAGTTAGCTACGATTTCGTCTTGTTCACGATAGTTTATCATTTTCAGTTGACCTTTGTTAGTTCTATCTTTAATCTTTTGTTATAATTATAATTATGTCATCTAGTCTTGTTGGGGTTATCCCCCCCAGGAATCTTTGAAAACCGCCAAGGCGACATGTATTTCCTGGTTAAATAAATAAACAAACAAACTGCCAACTTGAAGCCAGTACTTAAAAGTACTGGCTTGGCAGTTTCTCTTGTAGCTGATATGTTCATATGCTCTGCAAGCCTGGTACAGAAGAACACCGTCAGCAGTACTAGTACATGTACATTAATTTTGTAGCTTGCACAAAAAGGACATTAAACAAACTTAATCAGCTCATCCTAAATGTCTATTTATGTCAGAAGGAACATCTTCTTATTATGTTCATATTAAAGGCCATAGCATAGCAGCACTGATTTTTTCCCTGTATCACAAAGCTGCTTTGGCCCCATTTATCTAACCCATTTCCTTAAATTTGTTATGTGGTGATGATTGCGTAAAAATGGCTTTTGAGCTGTGTTTTTGAGTTTGTAACCAACCTCAAGCAGCGTAATGATAATGGGAGGGGTCCTAATTCCGACCTATGTACCATGCAAATGCACCTACCTTTGTCTGACCAAAAACCTGTGCAACATGAGCTTTTATTATCAACAGATAAAGATAAGAATGATACACAGCCATGACAGCTGTGTGTTTCAGTGCCACGCCGTACACCCAAGCGCAATGGTTCACGAAACTTATGGCATGTTTTTGGTCATTTTGCCGGTGGAACGTTCTATTGCAATAGGGGTGCCCTAATTCTGACCTAGTACTTAAACACAGATTGATCTGAGGAGAGATTTTAGTACATTTAATATTCACAAATTATTACTTAAACTATCTACAACTGTTTTTCTCTCCCAAACAAGTCCTCTTTTTACCATTATACAACTTGCTCCAAAGCAGCTGTTTCAAAATCAAAACTTTTTTACACGCTCGTCAACCCCGAGGAAAAGCGAAAGCGTTGAATTCAAACAGATTTTTCACTTGTCTGTTGTTGGAGCGTACGAACTGGGAAAAAACTTTGTGAGTTTGCTGTTATCAACGCATTATCAAAACTTTGTCCATTCCTGTGGGTATTTACAGGCACATACACCCATGCATAATGCCGCAAAAATGATTTTTCTAACTAGTTCGGAATTAAGGGTATGTCGGAATTAGGGCACCCCCTGTTAAGGTATGGTTTAAGACATCATGTAGTGAAGCCTTGTTGTTTTGAAAATTTGTCCTTTGGAAGAAACATAGCACTGATGGCAAGTTAATGTCTGTTTTGTGTGTTGTACGTGACCAGGAGGCTCAAGTTGACGTTGATGTGCTGAAGCTGTTGAGCAGTGTTGGGGCAGACGACTATGTTCCTGTGTTCGCCCGGCATCACATCTTCACTATGGAACAGCTGGCTCAGATGAGCAACGCTGATCTTCAACAGGTACCACTATAACACCACTGTACATATATTATGTTAATGTAGAGGTCATTTGCATAATTAATGAGGACATGTTGAAATGAAGTATGACAAAGCTAGCCCATATTTCATGGAGGTATGAGATCTTAGAAATCATGTTAGCTAAGCATCCCCAGGTGCCACTAGGCTTTATTTTAATTTTTTTATTTTTCTTGTTCCTGATTTTGAAAACTATTGAATTTGAAGCAATTTCAAGTATTTACATGCACTCATACTGAACCTACATAAAAACACATTATACTGCAGTTTGTTATCTCAAATTGTAAAATTGTGTCAGATATATGTTTGTAATTGATAGTTATGAGGGTAGTTCAAAAAGTTCTTGGCCTCTCCCAATAAAAGGTATTAAAAAAACCATACCTTGACCAACCGTTGAATTATTGATCCATCAGATCGGCATGCATGAGTTCGGACTTCGGCAGGAGATAGTGTCAGCAGCGAAAAAATGGCAAGAGGAAGGGCAGAAAAAGGTCGCTGACAAACAGGACAGGCCGGCAGTGTCTGCACCTGCAGCTGAACCTTCAGCTGAGGTCCCTCCAGTAACACCTACAGCACCTCCAGCTGCTCCAGCTGCCCCCACTGCACCTGCCAGGGACACCCTAGCCAGGGTCATCACAGAATGTGTCGTGTGCATGGAGCAAAATGTACGTTGGTATTCCTCAGTTTTTATTCCTCTTTTCTACATACATCGAATATCAAGTATTTACAAGTGACTGAAGGATGCAAAGCAGAAGTTTCCTTCTTCTCTTTTTACATTCTAACAATGCAGTTATCTGATATAGACTACATGTACCATGTCTTCGAAATGTGTAGCCAATTCTGCCAGACAGCTACTTTATGTCTTCAAATGAGAAGGCAAAGTTAACATTGTTGCATGTAATGACTATTCTGAATGACATGCCCTCTATTTACAAAGAGGTTCTCCTTCGTAATAACATTGGCTTATATTGATTATGTAAATGAAGACCTAATTTGCATAGTTAATGGCAATACAATAATTTCATTGTCGTAACTGTCAGGAATTTCACTCAGAAGTCTACTTATGAACTTAATTAAAAATAAAATATTTCTCATCATTGTTTAAGATAAATTTGTCATTGGGTGCAAAATGTATAACATATTCAACTGATATAACTCATGCAAATGAGGATCTTATTCGCACAGTCAATGAGAAACATTAACAAGAAGCCATAGGCGACAATCCTCCGTGAAGTTTTATATATTTCAACAAAATCCCAAGCGTCAACGCCAGACCTACTGTGCAGACATTATAATTAGACCTACTGTGCAGACATTATATTTCAACAAAATCCCAAGCGTCAACGCCAGACCTACTGTGCAGACATTATAATTAGGCAACGGTTGATACAATGAGGGCGCGTCACAAGCATAAAACATACAAAGAGCTAAATCCATTACTGCTCCCAGGGCGTGTAAAGATACTGTGCTTCAAGTTCGAAGTTCATTTTAATTACACACACAATCATTGCATTCACATAAAGATCGGACTATCATGGTCGTGTCTAGTAACAAAGACAGCCCCACCGTCTTACCGTGCCTGTAGCTAATTAAGCGCGCCTGGAACAGGCCAAATTCCAGCAACAGTTGCGGTAAGCACCGCGAGTGTTACTACCGCCGGCCAGATAACCAGGATATCTGCTTAGAGTACCTCTGCTACCAGACAACTGCCTAAACCTATGGCCTATTCCACAGGATTGTAAAAGTAGGGATGCCACAGCACATGCGAAATTACACAGAAATGCGACGTACGGAAGAATGCGTTTTGGCTGCGAACATCTTCCAAAAAACTTGGCATCTCTTAAGCATGGGCAAAAACATCTGGAACCACTTATCAAAACCACCCCGTATCTGCTGGAAGTTCCACCCCCCCACTGCTATTCCAAACAACGCGTTTTTCTAAACCATTCCAATTCGCCTCGTAATTGTAGGGGTGCGTCTGCAATATTACATTGACCGCAAAAGCAGCAACGGCAAAAATACACATTCGTGCATCAACACGGGCATGCCCGCAGACGGCGTATAAAATTGCGTGCCGATTACACAAAGAGAACCCAGTGTTTTGACTGCGAACATGAAAAATCAGCCGATCACAACACTCCCTCCGGAGGTCCTGACCTCCTTCACGGAGTAATAATTATTATAATTCACCAGACTAACATCATGAAGGTATGGGGTCGTGGAACTCTAGTTACTTATTGATTAGTTACTGAAACAATACTAATGATAGCATTAGTCATTACATGTATGTTGTATGTTATATCCACCTACAAATGTCATTGAACTTCCTTCAGTTGATTGAAGTAACAGTCAGATACCTCCTTTCTATAACATGACTGTTGATGTTGTGTTTTCCAGTCCTCTGTGTTATTCCTGAACTGTGGACATGTGTGCTGCTGTGCTGGGTGTGCGGGCAGTCTGGAGCAATGTCCGCTCTGCAGAGGTGACATCATGCAGAGGGTTATCCTTGTCTCTGTAGAATAACAGGGTAACAGCAAGTTTGTCAGAATGTCAACTTTGTAAGGCCACACCAATTTGATTTGTTGTTTCTCGGATTTTTTCAGAAAAAATCAGGAGCGACAGGGCAAAACAAAAATAGACCAAGGCACCCCATGAAATGTTACAATATGAGTCATGAAGTTAACATACCAGGCTGGTTTATAATTAAAACAATAGATTTTGAACTTTTAATGAAACAAAATATATTATTGCATTCAATTTTGTTACATTGAAAAACAATTATTAACAACCAGGAAGAAAAGGTCTTTTTTCAACCGTCGGAGCCAAAACATGTCTTTCATTGAGAATTTTGCAGTTAATAACAGGGCGATCCAAGAAGTAACAAATTAACTTGGTGTGGCCTAAGATTGGTATTCCGCTGTGATTACACAGCTGCGCAGCCTTTTTTACTTTAAATTCAAGGCCAACCTCTTTGAAGTTTACTTGGCCGGCCTTAAACAGTTGTGAGATCTTGATCAGATTTTTTATTCTGTGTACATAGGTGGGATTGAGACCATCTGGTTTATACTATTATGTACATGTCAATATATTCAATTTGTTACATTTACTGGTAAATTTTTTAGTAGCTCTGAAGATGTGTGAGGGACAGATACTGTGAGATTTTTTGCACTCTGACAGTTGCTGATGCATGACTGTGTATATAGAGTCAGTCACTCACTCAATCAGTCTGGTAGCTGGAAGCCATAGGGCATGCCCATAGCCGGGGGGGGGGTGGTGGTTTGGGGGGTTCCAAGGCTCAAAGGTCCACTTTTTGGTCCACTTTTTATTTAAAGGTCCAAGATTTTTCTTTAAAAGATGGACAGATTCGTGTCACCAGCAAGGCTGGAATCATAGGATAACTGCTCACGTGTCATTGAAAAAAAGTTATCTCTGATTTTTTCTCTGAAATCCTCTCAAAACTGCAGGAAATGCCATTTCAGAAGGTTCAATTTTAAGAATTTTCCGGGGGAGCATGCCCCAGACCCCCTTAGGAACCTCGCGCCTTTGGCACTCCCTGGTCCCTCAAGCAGTTGGAAGAACTCCCCCATTCAAAATCCTGGCTACAGGCATGTATGGGCTGTCTGACAATCCACAGAATATTATTATGATGGTGTAAAATGTCAAAGTGTAAGTGGAGCTTCATGCATGCACAATTATGTATGGAGTAATTAGTATATAGAAGTGTGTAGATAAATGCAGTCATGTAGTCCTGGCCATTTCTGGATACTTCAGTTTGAATGTAGACTGAGGGCTTCTGCGATTTGCCTTTAATTTTTGTCTGATATGAAAAAAAATTCAGGTTCTGAATCAAGTTCAAAATGCCCCTATTGTAACGTTTGGGGCTATCACAGGATGCCCAGGTAATAGGGTGTTTTTCCTGTCCCTGACCTTCATATTTCTGAAGAAAAAATCCAAGAACCAACAAATTAGCTTGATGTGGCCGAATGAGAAATTTACCATCATGGATGATGATACTGAAAAGAACTTCCTAGTCGATCATTGTATACATACAGGAGTATATACAAGTGTTATGTATGACATAATTATGTTATCTTTAATACTGCACTTTTGGATGCAATTATTTAGAATAAATTCTGAAGTGTACCAGAAATTTGTCAGTTTTGTTCAGCATCACATAATAAACAAAATTGACAAAGCCACATTTGATATTGTTTTTCTGTCCTCTATCAGGGAAGAGTTTGCCTTCCTGTTTCTGCATGAAGTGCTACAGATGTGAAATCTTGGTACAAGTTATAAACTACATGTGTAGAACCTGAAGCTAGAGCAGAGCAATCTTTTACATCTGATCAACACACATAAAACTAGAGTTCCACGATCTCATACCTTCGCCAAAAAATGATGTTAAGCTTTATGACTGACAAAGATAATTCCTCCTGATTATGCAAATAGGATCCTCATTTGCATGAATTATATCAGTTGATCATATTCTCCATCAAAAGACAGCATTATCTTAACAAAGAAAGCCATTCTATCATTTCCTCATAAATTATTTGAATAAGTTATGTTTAATGATGTTCACCTTCACTTAACTTTCAAATACCCCAAGTATGAAATTCCAGGCAGTTACCATTATGGAATTATTACATTTTCTCATTAATTATGCAAATTAAGTGTTAATTTACATAATGAATATCTGCCTGTGTTTCGTTCTCAATTACCTATGTCAGAAGCTTGAATAGTCCTATAATGTAATGCAGCTTATTTATAGAATTTCCTCATTAATTATGCAAATTACAGCTAGATTTGCATAATTGTCGCATAATTATGTCAAACGTCACTTAAGCTACCTACATACAAAAATCATGACGATCCATCAACCGGTTCTTGAGTTATCCTCTTTTGATTATTTTCAAAGAAATGCCCCTGCAGTTTCTGAGCAAGCCCAAACCTACGTCACTTCTTCCCCAGCACAAGACCTACCTACCATCCAAATTTCGTGACGTCCAGATCACGAGATATGAAAACCGGAAGTTCAGCTGCAGTACCATTAGAAGCCGCTAGGAGGCCCAAAATCTAATCATTTCGAGGTCTCATCAAGACCTACCCACTTCTCAAGTTATCGTGTTCACAGACAGACAGGCAGACAGACAGACACACGAACGCCTCTGAAAACATAACCTTCTTGGCGAAGGTAATTACATTACTAAAAGGTGTCAACGCGGAAGAAGCAAAACAACTAACCTAAAGTTCTGCTACACTAGATATCTATCGTTTACAAAGAATAGAACATATACAAGGCTTCAGTACCTGTTTACATCGTGTATTTAAATTCAGGGCACCGACAATAGAATTATGTATGTCCATGTACAAGTATATCGTACAGTCTAATCCAGAATTCCGAGGCGTACGGTTGTGTTTTTCTACTATTAATAACAGTCAAAGGACAATGTGACCCGTTACACTAAAGTTCAACTGAGGACAACGATCCGCTGTTCGAAAAGTTGTTCCAGAACGTAAAAACTCCCGGTGTTCCAGACTAGCAACGGCGTTCGACGAAAACTGTTTACAGTTACCACTGGCTGTTCGAAGCGACGGACGCACATTTTGGCTGCTCCTGTCCTTAGTTCAGATTTGAGACGATTTGTCGAGACGACGTGGCCGGCGAAGGAACTGGCGGTCCCGGGCGCGGTTCCGGGCGGTAACCTTCCCGTGCTGCCCTCCCTCAGACACCCAGGCTGACCAGAAGAGTGGACGTCTGCGGTTCTTGAAAGCCGCCGCGATCACCGTGTTAATACTCGTTGCTGTGACTTCGGTAAGTTTTCTACCAAAACAATTTATGATTTTGGTCATAAAAGTTCGTCTGTGTTAATTAGTAGTTACATGTTTAAAGTAAAACTTAACTTTGTTCCAGCACAAGAAATAGATCTCTCCTAGAGCTTCCAAATAGTCATTCCTGTCTTCTTTCAAGGATTTAGATGTTCAAAAACTCGTTTTCTCTAGTTAGAACTACTGTAGAGTTGAACTAGTTGCCACTCAAATAGAGTAGGGGCAGCATCACTAGACAGGCTTTAAATAACGTTTACCGTGAGTAACATGTGTAAACTATATAATGACGAACATGATACGTCTAGGTTTTGTTGTATTTCTTATACTAAATATAATCTGCCTTATTCTTTTTGACATTTGAAAAGAGGTTTTCAAGGGCCATGAATCTTTCCCCTTAGACTGCTGGTGTGATTATGACCACACAGTCCCTCTCCAATACTGGTGAGGATAAGCCTACCATCAACCTTCCCCCGTACGGGAGCAAGGGAGACGACCAAGCAGGAAGCGGAGATTCAGAAGGTCTCTCCCCGTACGTATACAGCGGATGGACAGGAGTCCGGGTGAAGCCGCGCGACTTCGTTGAAAACGACGCTGAATTCACAACGGTCCGGACGGCATGGCCTCCACTGATGCCCCTCTGACGCCCGGCGCGGAAGTGGCCCACGACTGGGGCTACACAACCGGAGAAACCACTGCAACAACGTCCGAGTTCGCCGCCGCGTTTCCAAAGTATTATTATACTTTATTCATTTCCTGCTTGCTCTATGCAGATGATGTCGTAATTTTCTCCGAAACCGAGAAAGGACTCCAATGTGCTCTTGACAAACTAAACACTTTCTGTACAAAATGGAAACTCCAAGTTAACCTGAAAAAGACCAAAATTGTAATTTTTAACAAAACAGGGCGCATATACAGAAATACAAAATTCCTGCTCGGCTCAGAAAATATAGAAATTACTACGTCATACTGCTATCGATATCTAGGTCTGCTGTTGTCCTCATCTGGCAGTTTCACGTTTGCATCAAATCAATAATGTTATATGGTTGTGAAATTTGGGGAAAAGATTTTTCAAATGACAACTGTCCTATTGAAACTGTCCATAATCGCTTCTGTAAAAACATTCTTGGGGTACACAGAAACGCTAGCAACGGAGCATGCAAAGCAGAGCTCGGTAGACTGTCACTAGACACAGACGTATCTGTACGCCTAGTCAAGTATTGGTTAAGACTGAGGCAACTAGACGCTAATACACATCCCCTACAAGTCGACGCTTTACTATCTCAACAAGACTGGCAATGAAAACATACATTGCCATGGCGACGGTGGTTGCTGTTAGGGTTATTGTTTGCATGGCACTGCCATCATTTCATGATTTTGAGGAAGACTTGGTACTTGGACCTTGGACTTTGGTTAAGTATAGACACCCCTCCCCTGAGTGCATAGTGAACGAGCCCCGGGGTCACAGAAAGTAGGACCATCTGTGGCAGACAGGTCTTCAGGGTTCCAGGTATGCGGGCATAGATGTGGGTCAGAGAAATGCCTGTGGACATTCCGCATGCCTGTGGACATTCCGCATGCCTGTGGACAAAAATGCCTATACAATTCCAAGAATTCTTATTATATCTATTTAGAAATAGTAGCAATGTCGCCTGTAGAGCAGAATTAGGTAGATTTCCTATAGATACACATATTTGTATATAGATAATGGTCCAAATGGGCACAACCTCACACTCCCTTCAAATGGATGCTCAGAGTCCTCTTACAGCAAAGCCTTCCAACAAATACCCGTAGACGAACTTTATTGCAACCTTGTTAAAGACATACCGGTATTAGATCACAATGGATACTCCTTTTTGCACAGGCGCTAGGCCACCGAGTTTTTGTTGAAAACTATGTTGTTTTGTAAACCATTAAAAACTATTTTACAACTTGATTGTTTTGCATATGTTATAACATACACTACGTACTCACTCAGTCCGTTGCAATCACAATACATAAGGAATGAACATGATCCGTTGAGTCATACACTCTGACAAACACCGTGAGCTCGGTCCGTTGAAAGATTCACGAGAATCATACNTGTGAAAGAAATACTTGACCGCAGTGGTTTCTCATATATCTGGCATAACGACAACGCCGATCTCGATAAGCAACACATATGTACATTACTTAGAAGTAGACTCTCTGACATGTATATCCAAACCTTTCTTTACAATCTCTCTGTTGATGTCAATTTGCAATAAACGTTCATTATTATCATTGATACACTCTTGACCGTCTACGACACCTCCCAAAATCCGTTAAACAATACATAAAGGTTCCGTTTCTTCTCTCACATGTACCTTTACGAATGCTTACAGATGTGCTTAAAGATGGGATTTTGAAAAGTGCTTTATACCCCATTGCAGGTACCCATAGGCATGACTCTTCCAGCAGACCGTGCAGAGAATGCCCGAGTTCCAGACAACCAGACGGAGACTTTCCGTTCTGAAGGCTGGAAGCGGTTCCGTGGAGGGAGAAGTGGCCCACGACTGGGGCTACACAACCGGAGGAAAACCACTGCAACAACGCTCGAGTTCGCCGCCGCGTTTCCAAGGTATTATTATTATTATTAAATACATTTTGTTAGCCAGTGTCCTCACTATGAGACCGAAAGAAACAGATTATTTCAGACAGTTACAACAATTTCTCCATCCTTTCGTCATTTAGAAGATCACCAAAAAACTGCATTTCTACTAAGATCACAAAACCCACTAATTTTGCAGAATGTGGGACTATTCATTATCCACTGCCTTCAAAGAAGAAGTCGAACCTCATAATAGCTAGCGTAGTAGTAGAAGTAGAAGTTTTTTCCAGACAGTTGTTACCTGTCTCCTGTTACTGTATTACAATGAGTATATATTATACTTGATTGTATAAGCAATTAGCCTTCGGGCATGATTTTGCGAATAAAGTTATAATTATTATTATTGATACACTCTTGACCGTCTACGACACTTCACAAAATCCGTTAAACAATACATAAAGGCTCCGTTTCTTCTCTCACCTTTACCTTTACATATCCTTTAAGATGTGATTTAAAGATGGGATTTTTATACAGTGCTTATAGTATTTACTGAATTGCACTTACCCGTTGGCATGACTCCTCCGACAGACCGCACAGAGAATGCCCCGAGTTCCTGACAACCAGACGGAGACTTTCCGTTCTGAAGGCTGGAAGCGGTTCCGTGTCGAGCAGAATCACACGGAAGGCGCCAACAGTACCACCGAGGCCCCAACCGTCCCACCACATGTAGTTGGTGACGAGGAGGCAGAAGTGGCCCACGACTGGGGCTACACAACCGGAGAAAACCACTGCAACAACGCTCGAGTTCGTCGCCGCGTTTCCAAAGTCCCCTTCCCGGCGACAGACGACAGCTCCGCCACTCAGGCGACTCATCTGGAGCTCAAGCCGAACTCCTCACTTGACAAGAAAGTCAGTGGCGATGTCGACAGCATGGGCACTGACCGCACTGGTGCTATGGACAATGTCTTTACGAAGAACTCTACAGACTTGAATCTGTACTTGGATGCCGTGCTAACAGACATTATGAAGAGCCACAAGAGAAAGCACTACCGTGGCCTGAAACGTATCAAACGGAGCAAAGCCATCGTCGTGCTGGCAGCAGTTGGTGTGCTGATCGCTGGCTCTGTGGGACACGTCTACTTGCGACAAATTGTACCGTGAACGGGGCCCTTATACTTTGATCCACGCTATGCTTATCTGAGTTCTGATATACTGCTGAGGAAATTATACCCCGCCATATCACCAAAGCACTGTATCTACTTGGATACTTGGATTTCGAAGCCAACAGCTTCATACACATTCAAACTTTGTTTATTTTATCCTTAAAATATATGGAACGTACCCGTGACCTGACCTTATTTACAACCCATGTTTCGTGCGAAACAAAAGCTGCAGTTTTCTTTTACATCTTGTATGGACAGGTCCTACAGACCTACAATGTAATTTCATGCAGCATCCGTTTCTACGAATAAGAAACAGTCTTGTCGGGAAAATGTTGTCTTATTTGTCGTCAGTGTCATGTTCAATACCAAGGACAGGTAGGCTTGCCTATGTGTAGATTGTGTTCAGTACAAAGGTAAGGTATGCTTGCTTGAGTGTGGATTTCAGTGCCAAGGAAAGGTATGCTTGCTTGAGTGTGGATTTCAGTGCCAAGGAAAGGTATGCTTGCTTGTGTGTGGATTTCAGTGCTAAGGAAAGGTATGCTTGCCTGTGTGTGGATTTCAGTGCCAAGGAAAGGTATGCTTGCTTGTGTGTGGATTTCAGTGCCAAGGAGAGGTATGCTTGTCTGTGTGTGGATTTCAGTGCCAAGGAAAGGTATGCTTGCGTGTGTGTGGATTTCAGTGCCAAGGAAAGGTATTCTTGCCTGTGTGTGGATTTCAGTGCCAAGGAAAGGTATGCTTGCCTGTGTGTGGATTTCAGTGCCAAGGAAAGGTATGCTTGCCTGTGTGTAGATTTCAGTGCCAAGGAAAGGTATGTTTGCTTGTGTGTGGGTGGTGTTCAGCACCAAGGACAAGTATGCTTGTCTGTGTGTGGATTGTGTTCAGTACCAAGGAAAGGTATGCTTGCTTGTGTGCAGATGATGTTCAGTACCACTGACAGGTATACTTGTGTGTGGGTTGCCAACATGTAGATTGTGTTCAGTACCAAGGACAGGTATACTTGTGTGTGGATTAACAACATGTAGATTGTGTTCAGCACCAAGGACAGGTATGCCTGCCAGTGTGTGAACTGTGTTCAGCATCAATGACAGGTATACTTGCTTTTGTGTGGATTGTGTTAAGAAAATACATAAATATATAAACCTTGTAGTTTCAATACCTTTTTGTTTTCTTGTTTTTATTACTTCTCTCAACTCCATAAACTTTTTTTCAGTTTCAAAAACTACAGAAGTCAGCTGTATATATAATGCAAATGTCACACATCAGACATCATATCATACAACAATCCAAGAATCAGAAATATTGAAAGTGTTAAGCAAAACAATACTTGCTACGGGAACTGCTTTGGGAATATTTCCCTTTAAGTACAAAAAAGGACTACAATATAACATAAAACACATAAATATATGTACATACATTACAGAAATGTACATACAAATGTATATAGATACTGCAGAAAATGTGGCACAGCCAACTCTCTGAATATCCGCCTTTAAACATTTTTCAACTAACGCCCCTGCAGTTCCAGAGCAAGCAGCTAAGGGGGCTCGTGTCACTTCATTCCCAGCCCAAGAGCTATCTACCATCTAAATTTCATGACCCTAGCATGTCCAGGTCTCGAGATATCAAAACCGGAAGTTCAGCTGCAGTACCATAACAAGCCGCTAGGGGGCCAAAATGAAGACCTACCCACCTACCAAATATCAAGATAATCCATGTAAGCTTTCTCGAGTTATGCTGTTGGACAGACAGACAGACAGACAGACACACGGCCAGGAAAACATAACCTTCGTCAATTCTTGGCGAAGGTAAATATAAACCTACCGTACCAGTTCTAGGGATAAACCAACCCTGTCATGACATCATTTAGATTCATGCAATTATTATATTAACATAAAATTTATCAAATAAAATTGTGATTCAAACTTTACCACTGGAACAAAAAGCTGAAACAATTTATGAACAGATGTTTCGAGTGTGTCTGACACTTCTCATCAGTTAAAAAAAAGTTTATATAATTATACAACATACTTTTCAAACATTTCAACTCTGACGCTTTGCATGATATTTAAACAACACTTTGTGTCCATGCAAGGCGTGGATTGGTCCCTTACCCCTTACATTGGCTCTAGTTTTCCTACAGTAACTTCCTACAGTTTCTAGCACGAGATGAAATGTAATGTACTTGTTGGCGAATGGCATACATGTACGGACCCTTCGCTAACGTTATTGCCCGTTATGAATGAAGCTCCCAAAGTATACGGTTACATGTGCAGATGATATAAATATTGCAAACTGTGGTCAAACTGTGATCTACGGTGATTTGAATGGTCCTCGCTCATTGTATGAGAACACGGTAGGAAACAGTGCTTGGAACAGACATGGTCACACAAACAAGAACACCAGCGGTCCTAGAAAGGGTGCCCTGGGCCACGCCGCATGTTAGATACTAGTACTCCCAGGGATGAGTTCTGGTCTCGCTCCCTCCCATGTTTATGTTTTGGTTTTCATCTTCATCTTTCTTCATCTTTGCCGGGGCTCAAAGATGTTATGTGAGCCCCGGCTACACCCCCATATAGCCCCTAATGGGGCACTTTAGGGGGGGGGGAAGGCCTTGGTTTAAGGCGGGCAGGCCTCCAGCCTGGCCCGGAAGGACTCAACGGTGGGAGCCATAACTACCGGGCCAGGCAAGAAACAATTTTGCCGAACTGTTTGCAGTCCATATGTCGGATAGAACCGACGAGGAGACGAACCATTTGCATACTTTGGCAAACTGGGCCGTGAGAGAAACAGGTCGGACATTGTCCAGGTCAGCTGGCTGCTTTTTTGGCACAGGACGGTGTTACCGTGGCCTCTTTCCACTCAGGTACCCTTTCCTCCCTCAGGGACGCATTTAGGATGTCTGTTAGAGGCTTGGAGAGCTGGTAGGCAAACTCTTGAGTGACATCTGGTCCGGGCCTGAGCTTTTGAAACCTTGTCGTTCGATTAGTACCAGCGCACGAGTACCAGGCTGCCACCAGACAGCTTAGTGATCACTTGTACCTACTGGGCTGGTTACCTCTGGTGCTTTGTAGTGGGACTTCAAGTTGGTGATGATGACGTGATGACGATGCAAGAGTTCACACCAAAAGTTAAAATCTGTTCAAGAAATGACTGGCTACAAATAATTTTAAAAGTCAAAGGTGCTGCTGCCGTTTGGCTGAAGACGGGAATTTCCTTTGTAAATTGCCAACGACTCAATATTCGAAGGTTTGCCTGGATACACAAGTCTGTGAAAAGTCTCCCGAAGTAAGTCTCCCGTAAAGTACATGTATGGGGAACTATCAGAAGCACAGTCCATCTGTGCCAAGACGGGTATGTAGAACAAATGAGATAGAGCTGTGTTCAGAGATTTCATCTATGATATGTGTACATATATATACTTACATTTATAAGTGTAAGTATATATATCAAAATATATATACTTACACTTATAAATGTATGTGTGGCAAGTAGCATGTCTCCAAATTTGTTTCAATTTAAGAAACAACTCAATAACACACACTACTTTGTCTTACCATGACATTCTTTAAATATCACATTGTAATACCAACCTTAAATGTACAAGTTTTAGCCATCAGTTTGCAAATTTACGCTACCTTCTGCTGTGAGTTTAACAGTATTGTACTTGAAATAATATAATTGTACTACTGAGGTCACATCCTGACCTACACACGTCTTATCTCCCTTTAGTAGCAAAACGTTGCTGGCAACATGTTTTCTTTGTTGCTGCTACTGCAAGTAATGCACATACATAATTACATGTAGTTCTACATACCGGTAGTATTATTGTCAATCTTTTTGGTGGTAAACAGAAACTTACATGTAATGTTACATGTACATTGTATAGCATTTGCTGTCTGTAAGTACTACTTACTAGTAGTTTATCTGAGTAAAACAAGTGGTTTTCCAGAGTGTCCTCAGACATGTGGGTCTTTTTTTACAGAGAGTGAATTAAGATGTATTTACCTTTCAACACTACATGCATATTATTAAATCTTCAATATATGTGGAAGTGTACTGAAACTGGCAAAAACAACATCTCTGACAAAATCTAAATTTAAGTGACAATCGTACAAACACAAGGTTATCAGTCCCCTTCTTGTGGGAATAACTTTTCTGCCAGGTGGTCATGCTAAATTTCCAGAGATTTTATGGGGCCAAACATCATATGCAACACACCTCTATATAGTAATAATTTTATAATGATTTTTAATTGACTGCTTTACACCAGTCACCACCTTTGGATAGCACACATGCTATATGTAGAAACAACTGTGAGAAGTTACGTACGTAAAACAATGATGCTGGCTATTCAGGTAAGGTCACACACATCTACTCATCTCTTTCAATTTTTGGAGGAAATCAATTAAGCATGCAATTTGAACTCTTGATAAAAGGAATACTGCACCAACAAGGACTTTCTTTAACAGTTTGTATGGGTATAAGGAATTTTT